AATCGCGATGTAGTCCTGAAAGGTCACATCTGTGGGAAGGACAGCATCGAAAGTCAGGCAGTCATCGTCGGTGGACTCGGCTGACACCTCCTCGATGCCATCGTCAGCTACTGCTGCATGCTCGGGCCTCACAAAACCGCTGTGCTGAAAACAGTTGGCGATGACTTGCGGCGGAGTGTTTTTCCACACGTGGGCGATGATGTGCACTGTGCAGAGTAAGTCCACTTGATACAACTTTTCAGCTTCTGAGCATAGGATCATTCGATCTAGCAGGTGCTTGCGGTACTTCAACTTCACGTAGTGAATGATACCCTAGTCCATCGGCTGAAGAGCAGACGTAGTGTTGGGCGGCAAAAAAACTACTTTGATGCTCTTCAGTTGGACTGTACAGTTATGGGCACTGCAGTTGTCAACAACCATAATTACCTTCCGGTCCTTCGACGTGAAGTGCCGGTCCAACTGCTGCAGCCAGCCGCGAAAAATGTCCGATGTCATCCATGCCTTCCTGTTCGCTGTGTACTCGACAGGAAGGCTTTTGACATTCTTAAAACAACGTGGCTTAAGCGCCTTCCCGACGACAAGTAGTAGCAAGCGCTCCGTGCCAGTCATGTTGGCGACAAGAAGCACAGTTATCCTTTGCTTGCACTTCTTGCCACCAATGCACGCGTCTCCTTTGAAAGTCACCGTCTTGTCGGGCAGAGCTCTGAAAAATAGAGCAGTTTCATCTGCATTGAACACGTCACGTAGTTCATATGCGGCGATGTGCTCCAGCAGCTTCACATTTCTCCACTCGGTGGTCACGCCTTCGTCAACACTGGCCTTTCCGTCGCACACACTCCTGAAGACAAGTTCGTGTCTCTCTCGAAACCTCGCAAACCACCCTTCTGACGTTTTGAACGATTCAATGTTCATCATCGCAGCGTACTTCTCACCTTGCACCATGATGACAGGTCCGCTCAAAGGCAGATGCGCGTTGCGACAGTCAGTAATCCACCAGAGCAAAGCTTCTTCGAGCTGGGGATGAGCTGCGGTTCGCAACCGCTTTCTAGAGGCATGAAACTTCTCGCTTTCGAAGGCTTGTCGAATCTGTTGTTCATTTTTCAGGTACGTTCCCAATGTGCTCCGCTTCACATTGTACTTAGTCATAACCCGCTGTCGCGATTTGCCGTTCTTCAGTGCTTCCAAAATTTCCACTTTAGTCGCCAAGTTCTTCGCGTCGTAGTTCTGCCGCTTTTTCGGCGTTGCCATCACTGTAGCGCACGATGGTGGTAGCATGCAAATACGGTCACAATGGAAGAAAAAGAGAACTCCGCAAGAAGAAATGGTTCCCACACGACAACACAAGAGAAAATGGCTTCGGAGGTGTGTTCTGTGGAGGCGCCGAGTGGAGAAGAAAGAAGACGCCGATGTTCGGTGACGCTGAGATCGCCCCCACTAGTTGATGATGATGGCGATGCCACTCAGGTTTCGGTTTCACTCCAGTGGTGCCAGCACTGCTTTATCACACTTTTGTGTAGCAGCAGCTGTATGCATTTGTCCGAATTAAGCGGTGCGGAGCCGAATTCCGACGAAATAACGAAGGTTTCGTCCCATAGATTAACATGCACTTTGGCCGGGACCAATAGAGCCGTCCGAATTATCCGAATTTCCGAATCAACGGGGGTCGAATTAACGAACTTTTATTGTAATACTTCTTGATGTTGTATGTCCACTCGACTAACCGAAGAGTATGCAATTCAGTTTGACGAACATCACAGCCTTCTGAGCAACAGCCCAGATCTTGACTGCAAGTGGCATAATAGCCTTTGTCGGCTTGTAAACAAGCCCTTGACCCCCTTCCAGTGGGTGGGATAGCTCTCCTCTAGCTTCACTAAGGATCTGGCTTTATGCATGATGCATGCCTGGTGGCAAAAATGTCCTTGTATCAAGTTGTGATCGCTGCTCTCTTATCAGACTCTGTGGCACATTCAGTCTAAAAAAGAATTCACTGAAAACTACCAAGTATGAAGGGTTGAATTACAGTATAAAGAACTTTTAAGGGGGCAGACTGGTCTTAGACACTTTTGTTTATTTCTTCAGTGATCTTGATAAAACTGCACAGGGTTATGCAGTTTTTTCTGCTGATTTCAAATATTTAATTAGTTTTCCTGTAACTCACTTTGTTCCTGAGATAGATTGAGTTTACCCCCTATTGTTTAAGGCCAACATAGAAAAAAAAGTGCTTAATTAAAAGTGATATTTAGGATATCCCAACATAGACTAATGACTATAGAGTGAAAATATGGAAGACGTTTTCGTTTTTAGGCCTTTATTGGTTATTTTGCAGCACAATGAACTATACATCTTCAAAAGCAGTTGGAATTGTGTTTCAATTTTCATTATAATTAATTAAAAAGGCATGTGCTCTAAATTCTGCTCCCCTACTTGCATTCTACACACATACAGGTTTCCACTGCAAAGAGAATTATTGTTGTACCTGCCCTAGCTGCAGAGATATTGAGGCCTCAAAATTGAATTGTCACAAATTTACATTTTTGAGAAAAATGGCAAAAACTGAAGACACACAGTTTCTTCAAAAAGCAACAATCATGGTGCACATATTTTGCAATCCTCATGAAGGCGCTCATAAATTGCTAGTAGAGCTTTAGACAAAGGTGCTGGCAAATCATAAAGAAGCCTCAAAGTCGGTTCCCCGTTTTTTTTACAGGTTCTGCATGTTAACTGCACCAAGAATCTGGACAGTTAAATGACATTACAAAAAAGTTACTACTTCCTGGTGCATGAAAATTTGCAGAGAGATAGAAAATACTTGCAGAAACCAAATATGTCAACTTTAAAAAATGAAATTTTTTTCTTACTTTTTGGTCCCAAAGAGCAGTCTGCCCCCTTAATACATTAAAGTAAACTGCCATCTTATAGAATAAATAGCCATTTAATTGAAGAGAATGAATTGTATCTGTTCAAATAAAAGATCTAGCTATTGGCCTCTCGTGCATGCGTCTGCACACATCTTTCCATCACTTTAGTGACAACAGCCAGTCACAGTGCCATTCCACCCAACGAAGGTGTCACTTGCCTCTGTGTCTCGCACCAATCGACTCACTGGTGTAATTTGAGGCCAAATGTGAATGCATATTACAGAGTTTTCTCCACATGTGCCCGCAAACACATTTTTGCCCCAAGAACCTAGCCACAAGCAGTTGAGCTCTAAAAAAATTAAGATATAGCATTTCTATAGCAGAAAAAAGCAAAATATGTAAGGCGATTTGACACAGCCTATTTGGTCTGGTTGGCACACACAATTTTAATCGACGTGGTTTAGCTTTGTTGGGCTGTAGTTGGCTACCCTGACAATTACTTTGTTGTATTAAACTCAATGACTACGGGCAACGCCCCAAACGAAGATGAATGCAGGCTCGCTATAGCGCTGGGTTTCCGGAAACCAGGTGGGCACCCGCATTAGGAAGCGGTTGCTGCTACGAAAAAGCGTCTGGAGGAATGGTGGCAGGAAAACGCCTTGAAGGTACAACGGCAGCGAACATCGCAAAGGCAGACATTTTAGTCACCCCATACAAAGCTATATGTGTCTTTTTTAGTCTTTTATTTATTATTATTATTTCTTATTGGCTAAGATCCGGAAACACTGTTGATCACCTGTTACAAAGGCAAAGGCTGCAGAAATCATCATCAAAATCATCATGAATTAACAATTGTGCCAAGTGCACATTTCTGTTTCAGAGTTGATCACCTGTCATTGATACCTCATGATGGCAAGTCACCGCTGAGACACAGGAATAGCACTCTTCAAATCAGTCACTTGCAAATTTTCTGCTGATATAAACGGGCATGCGTAATTATGGAAAGCGTAAGAGACCTAAGAACAAATATTTGCAGTGGAAGTGACATGGCCACAATGACAGTTGAGCTGTACCACCATCGCTGTCAAAGAAGGGATTCTGCTTGAAAAAATACCACCGCCAAATTCCAAGCAAGCACCCCCTCTAGTGAAATATAACCGGACAAGATTCAGGAGGGGGGGGGGGGGACTTTGTTTCAAGATGGCTACAGACGGTCTCTAAGAAGGGGGCCCACCTGGACTTCTAATGAAATTCTTGATTGAATATGCATGAATTCGCTGTTTTTACTGAGCTGTAGAAAATCCTTGGGTGAAACTTCGAGTGTTAGAAGCGGGACAAGAAGCTCTTAAAATGATAAAGAGTGCTTACCAGTGCAAACGACAGGGCAGGAGAGGACAGGAGAAGAGACGAGACAGAGCGCTGAACTGCCAACAATTTATTTCTTGTGGACGTCTTTGCTTTTATACAGCCACCAGTCGCACTAGTCATGCGCAAAACACAACGACAATGCATAAGTACATCACACCGACAAGCAAAGGAACAACTTTTTCTTATCGGTGTGTTAGCACCCCTTCTGTCACGCTCACCGATAAGAAAAAGTTCTTCCTTTGCTTGTCGGTCTGGTGTACTTGTGCATTGTCATTGTGTTTCACGCATGACTGGTGTGACTGCTGACTGTATAAAAGCAAAGACCTTCGCAAGAAATAAATTGTTGGCAGTTCGGCGCTCTGTCTCGTCTCTTCTCCTGTCCCCTCCTGCCCTGTCGTTTGCGCTGGTAAGCACTCTTTATCATGTTATACCAACACGCCCAATCCTACTGTCTCTTAAAATGGTTCGACAGTTTGTGTCACACAACTCAGAACGCAAACCTGAGGCACCACACTGTAAAGTTAATAAGAAATCAAGCTCATATCTAAAGGCTCTCAGAACTTGGGTTCCTTGACAACTGCAGCTGCAGGATTGTATTGCGAAGAAAACGTTGAAAAAAAAAAAGACGGTTGGGGACACTTGCTCGGTGATTGATGCATACTTCAAATGATCCAAAAAGGGGGAAGTGCATGGAGGCTCAAGGTTTTATAGAGATCGGCAATTAGACAAGGTCCAAGTAGTAGTGTGTCTGCTATGAGTGCAAAAAAAGCAGACCTTTGCCCATGTTCTTCAGCCGCTCCCGAAAGGCTGCGTCCGTCTCCTCAGTGTGTGGAAGGTTTCCCCAAGGTTCGTCTTCACTGGCATCAGCAGGTCGCCCTGCATCAAGGTGCTGCTCTTAGTTGGTTTGTGACAATGCAAATTTTTCATGAAATGCAAGAATGTTTTTGAATTTACTGGTGCTCTGGCCTCGCTTGAATTTCATGAGATTCAATTCTGTAGCAAAATGGCTGCGATAGATTCGCCAAAATGACCAGGCTAGCCTGTGCAAGATTTGGTGTGGAACCAAATGCAGCTACTGCTTGCTCATATTGTCAGCTTCTCAAAGCCGTGTTGCCACCATTACAGTGAATACGGCATGCAGGTGCACATAGAAGCCTATGTAGCATCCGACTCCCGTGAGGGAGCTATTGCAATGCTGGCAATAAAAGTACTACAGGCCTTGCTAACCCCAAAATGTAAAGATGGGACTTGGGTTGCGCTTCGACTTGGCTTGAGGCAGTCAGACCGAATCAAGAAGCCGACTTGAAAAGCCCAAGTTGACCTTGATTATTCACAGACAATTTATCAAGTCAAGACTGAGCTTCAATGAAGAAGCATGTTGCTTATCTAATAATAATAATAGCCGGGGTTTTACATCTCAAAATCAAGATATGATAATGAGAGACACTGTAGAGAAGGGCTCCAAAAATCTGGACCTTCGGCACGCACTGATATTTAACGTGCCCCGACCTAGTCACCTCCATCGAAATGTGACAGCCACGGCTGGGATAGACCCTGCAACCTTCGGGTCAGCAGCCGAGCACCGTAGCCACTGCTCCCCCAAGGCAAACGAGTTTGCTCATCTGGTATTCAGGGTAATGACAATGTCGTTTGCATAAGACGTGCTGTACAGAAAGACGAGTATATATATTTTACTATAACCATCAATGCAAACCCTTGCAATAAGTCTGATTACTCTAGCAGCATGCCCTATAAGGTTATCTTAGTATGCCCATGCTAACCTTTAGCTTCAATAATCATGCCTAGCACACGGAGAGAGACCGAATTTTGGGGATCTCACACCTGGGCCATGTTTGCACCCTAATGCATATTTCCTTGGGCTTAAGGAAGATAATCTCCTGAGATTTTTTCAAGCGTTTCTCGTGAGCCATGTGAATTATGTCACCCCCATGTACAGATGGCAGAAACACAAAATTAGCAAGTTGAACACGCTCATCAGGAAAAGTACCAAGAGAGTCCAATGCTCACAAGCACCGAAAACCCAGTAAGCCTCCACAACAAATCAGAGAAAGTGATTGAAGCATAGCACATATTTCCAGGCTCTCGTTCACAGCAGCAGGAAGGGGTATCCTGGCTACGGTCGGGACCAATACGATGGCATTAAAGCTAAGGTTATTCAGCTATTGGATAATGGGTATTACGGTCTGCCCTATTCTGAGAAAGATGCAGCCAATTTTCAATACTGGCAAGAGGACAGCTAACGCCTCTGCGCTTCGTGTTATGTGCACGTGCACACGAGGCTGTTTTGTGTTTTTTAGACGCTGCCCAGTGCGAAGGTGACTCCAGTTGCTTTGTTGACAATGCTGTGGACATAAAGGACCGACTATTATTGGCTGTGTCAATCAGGGCATCGTCGGTTTTCAAGGCAAAGCAAGTGGCCATTGCATTGGCAATCCTTTAGTCGGATAGGACAGAAATTTATACGGACTTGCGGTTATTCCGAGCTTTCAGGACTGGGGCTGTTTGTGAGAAGATTGTCCGGACACTTGAGTGTAAGATGCTTAGTCACGACGTCATTACACAGTTCCCAGCGCACGAGAGAGTGCCAAAGCACGGAGGCTGGTCAACATTAATGAGTTGGCCCATTCCTGGGCGAGAGGTCATGCTGGCTGCGCTGGGCGCCTGGTAGCACAGGTGACAGACTTGGTCCAACCTTTTTGGAGGCCAGCCCAAACCACATCAGGGACATTCTCTCTACTTTCAACAAGATAACTAACCCCTATCAGATGAGTCGCAGGGCTTTCCCTTTGCCACAATGAAATCTCACGAGGCTCCAGGACGTGACTATTAGGCTCCTGCAGGCAAAGTCATATTCCACACTTTTCACCTTGAGCAGGTACATCTTCTTTGTGTCCCGACTGTGGGGCGTTTAGCGATTTCAGGCACATGCTCTGGGAGTGCCTCTCTTTACAGCACCACATGGATTGACGGGGGAGAATTTCGTTCCTTTCTCAAGAACCACAACTGGTTTTACCAACTCTGGACTACCCAGAAGGCCCACGATGCAGCGGTGAGGCTTGGCATACCTGTCCCAATGACATGGGAGCGACATAGTTTTGCCTCTAATAACAGAATAAAGATTCTTTTGGACCAGAATAAATTTTACTATCTGTCTGTCTGTCTGTCTCTCTCTCACTCACTCACTCAATCAATGAATCAATCAATCAAGCAATCAGAAGAGCTACAAGCACTTTTTGAGACCTTACTGCAAATTACCAGCATGTGACGCCCACGCAATGCTTGTTGCAGCTGCTGCGTATGCAGTGCCACTTGTAGAAAGATTCCATTGCCCACTTGCTTCAGTGGTTACCCTAGAGCGGCATATTTATCCAAGTTTCTTTATGGGGTGTGCGTTTGTAGAATTGGCCATAGAGAGGCTAAACAAGGGCTGGTTTTAGTTGTGTTTATTCATCGTTCTTTGTTCATGAACATCGCGAGGTGGATGTGCACTGCCCGGGCTCGCAGGCTGCCTAGATAAGACATATTGCAATTTTTCAAGGTACTCAAAATTTTATTTGCTTATGGGCATGCCAGTAGCGAGTTAGGTTAGGTTAGGTTAGGTTAGGTTACATCGCGAAGTGTATGTGCACTGCCCGGGCTCGCAGGCTGCCTAGATAAGACATAATGCAATTTTTCAAGGTACTCAAAATTTTATTTGCTTATGGGCATGCCAGTAGCGAGTTAGGTCATAACTATATTTGAAAAAAAGAAAAAGACGAACGAGCTTTGAGAATTAAGTGTCCATGCCTACTATGTGGGTGTCCCCTTCTGAGAAAAAAAGCTAAAGAAAGAAATGGGAAGCGATTAGTCCGCTTTGGTCAAGATTCTAATTCTTAGTAAGAGGACAAGCGATGCTCAGGATATTTTATCTACTGGAAACTTTGCTGAGAACAACAAGAATAAAAGAAGCCTGCAAATTGGAGGAAGTGTTCGTACACCCTTTTTGTACTACAAAGCTACAAAGAATTGTGGCTTTGTATTTACCGAATTATTCATTTTAGTCCAGGGACTACCAGCAGGGGAAGCTTATCTTTTGGAGAAATGTGAGTGGGCTTTTGTGTAGCTTTGTGCTACAAATGGGTGCATGCCGATTTCGCAATTTGAGAATGAAGCAAAGATGCAGTGTGAGACAACAGTTATAGCAGGTGTCTATTTAGAAAAGAAGACGTTGAGGAAACGAAGCTGGCCTGCGGCTCTAGAACTTGATTGCAGCATTCATGCTATTTACTTGTTCTGTAAATGACATCAGTGCCTCCAGGTATTGGGTGCAACAATCTGAGTGCATGTTGTTCACAGCAATCCATCATAAAATTTGATGCCATTACCGAGACGACAGCCCCAAAAAAGCTCGCACATCAGAACAAACAAGCGATTCACTGAGGGCATATCTACTGAGTGAGCGTAAAAGGTCACAGTTGCTGATGGATCCAATGAGTGCATAAAAAGTGGGAGTGAGAACATGCATGCGCACCATCGTCAGGGACCAATCCAGCACTGTGCTCCATCTCCTGACTCAGGATGTCTGTGAGAGAACAAAAGAACCCCCATGTCATGCATGCAGCACTGCCAAGCATTGAGGACATGATCAGCGAGAAGAAAAGCGTGGCAGCAGAAACCTGCCCCATTTGGTCTTCTTTTTATCGCAAACAAGCCCAAATGAACTTGTTTTGTCTTGTGCTTCACCATGCTTCACCACACAAAGCCATCATAGAAAACTTCAGCAACTTGTTCAAGCTCTGTAGAATACACTCATAAAAGAAAAAAAAAATGACAAGAAAACTGTGGAACACTACGTCATTAAAAAGAAAACAAAGAGCAGTCGACACTATCTGCCATACAACAAACACAAGGTGGGGCAAATCAAATAGCTTTTTTTTTAGTTATTAGTAGTAATACCAATATAAAACTTGTGAGAATTCCTTAGTCCCAAATACTGTGGTGAAAAAAAAAACACGAACAAAACAAAAATAACAAGTATATTGGCAAAACAGGGCAGCCTGTTAAGGTCATCGCCCGCAGGGGAGTCTGCGTAAGCAGGCGTTTGGTGTGTAGCGACACGATGGACAGCTCGGGAGGGGAGGGGGGTTCACCAGAGAAGGATTGGCCACCCTGGTACAGTATCTGGCCACTACCTCCCACATGCATACGTCAAGCTTTCCCAGGAAACGAAGAATCTCATTAAGAAGCGTCAGAGTATAAAGTCTCAAGTACAATAGACAAAATAGAACTGTCAGAGCTTTCGAAGTTGATTAATAAGCATAAGGTATCCGATGTAAGAAGGCATAACATGGAGAGAACATAACATAGAGAGAATTGAACACGCTCTGAAAAACGGAGGAAGCGTCAAAGCAGTGAAGAGGAAACTTGGGATAGGGAAAAATCGGAAGTATGCACTAAGGGACAAAGAAGACAAAATAACTACCAATATCGATAGGACAGTTAAAACAGCGGAGGAGTTTTACAGTAGCCGGGACAACCACGACCTTAATACTATAGGATCTAGCAGTAACCCAAATGACACCCCCCCAGTAATCATAGAAAAAGTCAGAAAAGACTTGGAGAGCATGGGAAGAGGCAAAGCTGCTGGTGAGAATCAGGTAACACCAGATCTGCTAAAAGATAGAGGACAGATTGTGTTAGAAAAACTAGCCACCCTGTTTACGAGGTGCCTCCTGACGGGAATAGCACCAGAGTGTTGGAAGAATGCTAACATCACCTTAATACATAAAAAAGGAGATGACAAGGACTTGAAGAATTACAGGCCTATCAGCTTGCTCTCCGTAGTAAACAAGCTATTTACAAAGGTAATTGCTAACAGAGTTAAGAAAACATTAGAATTCCATCAACCAAAAAAACAAGCAGGATTTCGAAGAGGCTACTCAACAATTGACCACATTCATACTATCAATCAGGTAATAGAGAAATGCTCTGAATATAGCCAATCATTATACATAACCTTTATAGATTACGAGAAGACATTTGATTCAGTAGAAATATCAGAAATCATGCAGACACTGTGGAGTCAGGGCGTCGATGAAGTATATATAAACATCCTGGAAGAAATTACAGGGGATCAACTGCTACTGTATTGCTTCATAAAGAAAGCAACAGAATACCAATCAAGAAGAGTGTAAGGCAGGGGGATACAATTTGAAGAGTGTAAGGCAGGGGGATACAAAGTGGACGTAGTCAGGCTGATGATGATGATGATGATGAAATGGTCATCGCACGGACACGACAAAGAAGTTGCTGAAAGCAGTAGCACAGCATTTTAACGTAGCAGGACACAATTCCAGCTACCTCAAACTCTACATATTTCAGTCAAACTTTTGGTCCACAAAAGACAAAAATATAGTCGTACCTTATTCGTAAGTTCAATACGCATTAGCCATAAACACTTCTAAAGGGGCTCTTGAATCCATTTGGTATGGCACATATGCAAAGAAAACCACTGCAAATTAAGCCCTCCGTCTAGGAATTTCAAACCTGCCATTGTTAACTACTGACAACCGGTTCAACAACCGACTCAGCGATGCGTGTACATCCTCACCTCCCCACTGCTTCCTTGTGTTCTTTTTATTCCTTCTTTACTCATACAATGCATCACAGCACTCTCCCACCCTTCCCCGCTCTCTCACACTCGCATATCGAATGTTGCCCCTCCCTCTTCTTCGTTAGGATGGAAGAGAGGGTACGAAGCATTGACACGCCAGCACTAAAAAATCAGTTCAGTAGTTCTAGTCTCGCGGAAGAGAAGACCAGTTGTCAAAATGTCTGCTTGACACAACACCTCTTTATGGATTTTTCATCACAAGTACAGACCTTGTCATTTTTATTTGGTCTGTTAGACACATATTAATGAGAACTAACAGACAATAGTCTGTTCACATTGTGTCTGACAAAGAAAACGAGCCCTTCGGTTTACACTTTTTTCCTTCATTTCTTGCAGTTGTTTGTTGCTTGTGTTTTCCAGCAACATAGCAATATTTTCCTCCCTCCTCCCAAAAGAGTGAGCAGGCGTTGTGCCCCTCCAGGTGCTTGCTTTCTCCCTCTTTCCTTTGTGTGTCCGTGTATGCAAATAAAATAAATAAATAAAGCAACATAGTTGAGTGCACTTGCATGTTACCGTGTCTTTTTTTGGGGGGGCGCTTCTGATAAGCCAAACTCCTGACAAAGTGCAATTTTCAAAGTCCCTTCAAGCTCATTTAAAGAGAGTCAACTAATGGCAAAAAATTTGTAGGTAGATTTCACAAATATGCTAAAATAAGTGTTATGTGAGGCTTTGTTGCTTGATGTTTACACAAATGTAAGTGCAAGATAACGAGATGCAATCTTTACACGATCAATGCAGTGATTCGAATGCATTTTAAAGATAAACATATTTGACAGAGATTTGTCTTGCTGGATAAAATTATACGAATAAACTCTCTTACCAAATTTAGTTTTTAGTCTTTAGCATTAAAAATTGGCCCTACGCTTTGAGACATATTCGGCATCTCCTTTAAGGGTGACTATGCGGCCGACTTTAAAGCTAGGCCTTTTTTTGTGATTGTCTCCTCCACCAGAAATGATTGAAAGAACGACAGTGCAGAAATAGAGAACGACTAAAAAAAGTGCTAGCTTCGGAGCTGACCGGACAGTCACCCCCGAAGATGCTGAATAAATGTAGGGGCAGTTTTTAATGTTAAAAACAAAATGTAGCTGTAGAGAATGTTTATTCATGTATAATTGTATATGCATTTTAGCATCACATCAAGCCAAGGCTGGAGGTGGGTGATACACTGAGCGAGTGGCCAGTACTTGTCAGTAAGAAGCAAAAAATAAAACTCTCAATAGGGTTTGAAATGTTGCTTGTTAGCCACCTTGGTTGAGCGTGCGTATGAAGTCTCGGTTGCTCTGCAGCTGTCGCATAAACTCCTGGTTCTGCAGCAGAATGGCCATGCGCTCATCTTCCAGAAGCTGCGCTTCAGCCTCAGCTGCACCCGAGGAGAGGCGGCGCTGTTGCCTCACATTCTCAGCCATGCGCTGCTGCAGCATGGCCGTGCTGAGCTCTCCCGTGGCCTGCACCATGCGGACACACAGTGTATGTGTCAATAAAACTTGCTGCTGCTTTTGGAGTGGCAAGGACTGTGTTTCCTGTGTCAAGCTTGCACAGTTTGTGTGCTTTCCCATCCAAGTAGGGCTTTGAAATATTTAGTTGGACTGCCGATTGCCCTTTTAAAAAATGAGCCGATGAAAAGGTATGCAGGAACCTTTGTTACTACAGGGAGTAAAACAACCAGCACTGACAGTTGTCTATCCAGTATCTACTTTACAGCCCGCCAGACCGGTGCCTTCATTTCCTGTAACTATTTTACGTAGTCAGACAAACAGTCCAGTGTAGTTATCCTTAGTGAGAGGCTCTTTAAGAATCATGCAATGTTGTGCCTTTACATGTTTTGTTTTACATGTTAGCAAACACTTATTGGAGCACAATTACCTACAAACTCTGACATCTCGAAGTATTGGTAAAGCCAAACAATTTAAGTAATCCAGAATGCACTATGCTGCAGGAATCGACATGCTGCGTATCTGGAACCAACTGTGAAATCCCTGGATGGCTGTTTTTGAACATTTCAACACTATCTAAGCAAGAAAACGCTTCTGCCCAAGTGATTGATTGATTGATTTCGTTTATCTTAACCATCTTGATCGAAATAAAGAAGACATGGGCACAAGCAGGGCACATAGCACGAAGGCGAGATAACCATGGTCATTAAGAAACCGACTAGGTTTAAAGAGAGAGAAAGCACACAAAGCAGAGGCGCAAAGTGAGGTGGGCAGACCAGATTAGGACGTGGACGCAGCAAGGACATGACCAGCTTCACTGGCGAAACGTGGGAGAGTCCTTTTGCCCAGCATTGTCTGTAGTGAGGCTGATAAAGATGCTGCATTATTTTGTTTGAAAAAAAAAAAAATATTTGGGTACAAGTTAGAGCTTTTTTGAGGGTGTAATGAGGTGTTAAGGAACTGACAAATGGCATTAAAACAAATAAGGATAAGCTTCACTCATTTAAACCTGACTACACTAGCACAAAAAAAAAAGAAGTTTTGGCAAACTGAAGTGATCACTCTAAACATGACATTCCACAATATCGAACTTTGCACTTTAAAACCTTCACCACCACTGATGAGCAAAGGCGCTATGAACAGTAGGACAGAGGACAACTACACTCGTAAATAACAAGAATTGGTTTCATGTAGAATTAATGATGGCTGTGGTTGTGTTTTTTGATGCGAGATGGCCCCACTTGTCCTCAATAGAGTTTAATCCTCCTCCTTCAGTGTCTCGTCTTTCATTGCATTGCTGCCTCTTACACTGCACATGCAGTATCTCTGTACACATTAGAAAAATAAAGAAATGTTATTTCATTTAAATAATGGTATCATTCTATTCAGAATAAAAAGGTCTACAAAGTGAGCAAAAAATATTTTGCGGTTATCTTGGCAAGCTTTTTTTAGTTGCGAAACAGTTAAATTAAGCACACGGCCTCTAATTTATCAGCGCCTCCCAATCAGTGACGCTCTCAAATAAAGATGCTGTGTTCAATGTTTTAATTAGGTGCCCTAAAATGAAAATACGTTTGCCAATCAAGTGAGTGAAGCATGACAAATATCGAAAATTTGTAGCGCTGCCGTCTTGAACAGAAGAACGTGGCTTAGTGCAGGCTGTCATCAAGAGACCGCATGCCCCACCTCAGAAAGAAATTTGAAAGAAATTCATGTAGCGCGAGGCAAAAAAGGGACACAGGAAGGAATAGACTGAGAGGACAGAGCGCTCTGTCTTCTCAGTCTATTCCTTCCCGTGTCCATTCTTTGCCTCTCAGTCTATTCCTTCCTGTGTCCATTTTCTGCCTCGCGCTACATAAATTTCTTTCAAATACATCACCAACAAGCCCACATCGCCACTCTTGTCGCCCACCTCAGAGTCCATGGGGTTCAAGGCAGAAACAAAGGTCAAGTCTTCATCATAAGAAAGAGCACAGCCACATGGAAGACAAACAAGACTTTTCAGTCCCGTGTGCCCGCACCTTTTTTTTATGATGAAGCCATGCCGACAAGCTCATGCTTATACCCTTTTAAAGGTCAAGTAATTTGTAATTTCAAGAAATTGTACTTTAGCCGGCTATGAACATCATTTGGACAGTAGACTTGTATCCACACTGCAGATACAAGCAAACTATGTTTTACGTCTGTTCACTTCTATGCTGCTCTCTTCACGTGCAGTTCTTCGTAGTGTATGTGCAGTTCTTCATGTGCACTTCTTTGTAGGCTATGAACATCATTTGGACAGTAGATTTGTATCCACACTGTAGATACAAGCAAACGATGTTTTACGTCTGTTCACTTCTATGCTGCTCTTCATGTGCAGTTCTTTGTAGTAAAATGCCAACAGCCCTGCCAGTGATTTCAGGGCTGAGTAACATGGCGATAGATGGTCATTTCAGTCGTGATACGTAGTTGCGCACAAAAAGAAAATACCTCGTCAAAGACGTTTGTGCAAGGCTGAAGGCCTTTATTCCCTGCGAGAGTTCTTGCCTTGCCGTGATGACGACCAGGTCGTCCACAGTTGCTATCTTGACCCGCTATCTCTTCAGCTGAGATGACTGATGAACCAGAAGGTGTCAAAAGCCAAGATTAATAAGCAAACTCACCGGAAACCTTGCCATGCATGTGGCCTGACAAGTCGCAAAGCAGCAACATTTCTCCATTCACAATAGTTGCACAGTGACTGTGAAACCTTCAGATGCAGTGTGTGTGCCTCATGGTTCAGTAACTTCAAAGCATGCTATGGAATCTCTCTTTCTACTACGAGCAAATCTTAATATAGTACGATGTGCTTTTTGAAGGGGTAATTTTGGATAACTTTCATCCTTTTTTCTTAAGCATCAAATAGTAACAAAAAGTCAGTATGGTTTTCAAAAAAATAAATCAACTGAATAAGCACTGCTGTATATTAAAGATAAAATAATCGAAAATATGGAAAACGAAAAATACACACTTGGGCTTTTTTTTGATCTTCAGTAAGCATTTGACTCCATTCAATTCAGACTATTGATTAATAATTTATCCAGGTATGAGGTAAATGGAGAAGCATTACATTTGTTAAAAAGTTACTTGGAAGATCGATACCAGTTTGTACAAATCATCAATAGAGTATCTACAAAAATAAAACTAGACCAAGCAGTGCCCCAAGGGTTCATACTGGGGCCAGCATTGTTTTTTTGTTTATATAAATGATATAGTCGATATGACTCATTCCCCTGAACTTATTATGTTCGATGATTATACGAATGTGTTCTTTACATCAGACAATTTATTATCACTTGAAGTAAGCGTAAATAACTATCTAAGTCATCTTTCAAACTGGTCAAAGCAGATTGAACTGCACTTGAATGCAAAAGAAACAACCTATATGATATCCCAGCCTATAAACAAACCTATCAGTAATATAACAGTATAATTTGAAGGAAATTGCATTGGTCATGTTAGGGAACAAAAATTTCTTGGCGTGTGGTTTCAGGAGGAGTTAAATTAAAACACACATGTTAACAATTTAATTACCACACTGGCACGAATAGTCGGTTGTTTCTTTAAAACAATGCATTTAATTCTACTAAGATTAAAATAAGTATGTACTACGTGCTTTTCCACTCTAAAGTGACTTATGGGATGTTAGTTTGGGGAACAAAATTGCAAAAAAAATTACCAAAAGCTTATAACCATACAAAAAAAAAAACTGCATTGTTTGGAAAAATACAGAGTTAGTATATAGAACTTGCAAACTGCTCCATTATTTAGCAAACATTCCATGCTCAAGGTAGATCAATTATATTACTTCAAATCGCTGCAGTTACTTAAAAAGGATATGGGGAAAGTCATACCAAAACATTACACTATCATTTGCGAGAACAGGAGAAGCGAGCACCTAGAACAAGGATCAATCATAGAAAAAAAAACTGTTGCGTATCACAGATCTCACGTGATAAATGCCCTAGCAAATAAATTGAACTTTAAGGCTAGCAAAGCAACCTTAAAGAAACAAACAAAGAACTTGTTACTTATCACTGGTACACATTATAAAAGCTAATAAGTGGAGTTTCATGCCTCGACCAATCCTGAAATCATTCATCACTTGTATTTTGATTGTAATATTGTGCAGAATAATATCGGTGCGTCCCTATGTACTTTGTGTTTCACAATGTTTAAATTTCTTTTTTTGTCAATTTCACTTGGTTATGTATCTCCATGTGAGTGACTGCTAATTTTGCAAATGTGCTATGTAAACATTTTATCTTTGTTTTTGTGTGAATTTTGTATGTACACTTGCAAACAGCTTGTATTCAATATGTATGTAACCAATGTATTGATTTTTGTCTATTTCTGTCTGTGCTCATATCAAAGCTTAGCACGAACTACAGAGGGACAGGAGCCTCTGTCAGGCTGATTGCCTTTGGACCTTGCCCCTGCAGTGAGCTCTGTATGTGTTTACTGTAAATAAAGTAGTACTCTTATTTAATTGTTGGGGTCTAATGTCTCAAAGCCCCGATATAAAAATGAGGGCTTTGATATTTCAACCACCTGCAGTTCTTGAATGTGCATCTGAATCCAAGTACGCAAAGCATCTCCCGTTCTGTCAGAAATGCAGCCAAGATTCGATCCCACGACCTTTGGGTCAGCTGTCAAGCAACATGGCAGGTTGCAGTGTGTGCTTGTTGACCCTGATGATGAGCCAGATGTAGTGCTGGAAATCCCTACATGAGCTAGAGATCCCAGTACTAATGCAAAAAAACATGGGATATGGGCCCAAATGTGCTTAAAAGAACATGGCTGAACTCAGCCTCCACATCCAGTGTGCTATGTTTTACTACAGCATGAATGAAATCGATTCCTACATCAGCCAGAATATTTGTACTGCTTGTCCTACATTTGTGCAAATATGGTAATAGAGCATGTGCTTTCTGTTAAGAGCAGAACAACTAAATCATGTTGAGCTGCCACTCATACGGCTGTTTGAGGCAGTTTGAAGGCATTCTTAAAAGATGTCCTGAAACAGTGGTACTGAATTTGTTAGATGTACTTTTTCTCAAAACAAAAAAAAAGGGCGACACAATATTTTTTGAAGCTCTCGTCTCATGACACGAGAATGAGTTTCGCTTCCTATGTACTGCTGTGTGTTGGGTTGATAATTTTTGTCTGCTCCTTTTAAATCTGCAGTTCCATGAAGCTTATACGTGTGCATGAGTTAAGAAAATTAAATTATGTTTACAGTTTTTCCCAAGTTTATTGCCGCTAACACTGGTGGTCTTTAAGCTATGTGTGGTGCCAAACACATGAAGCACCTGATATGCTGCCACCATGGCTGACCGTTTTCAGAGGCAGTATTGTTTCAACAAGGCCACTCTGGACAGTGAAGCGCTACTACCGAGTGCTTGTAGCAACAGGGCTGTGAAGAAGCCAGGCCCACCTGTGACTGGGGGGGACTGCAGCTGGGTCGGTGGTGTGGACGGCTAATGCGCAGAAACCCTGGCGGCAGAGGGCCAAGCAGGGGCGGTTTCCAGGCACGCGCTTCCTCCTGGGCGCTGAGGGTGAAAGCAACGTTGCCTCCTATTTTGAACTAGCAAACACTCACTTCCGGGTGATTCCACGAGAGATCGACACGGGTCCAAAAGTTGATATTTTAGATTTCATAGAGTATTTTATATTTCGCGCACCTCTCACCAGGTAGCCCAAAAGTCAACTTTGTTTTATGATTAACGGCATAACTTACGAGAAAAAAAATATCAAACTTCACCAACACGGAGGCACTACTTTCATCACCTGTCATTTTCGAAAATTGCAGATGCTATAAAAAGACAAATATTTTTGTTTCAAGGAAGATATTTTTTACCTGAAATGCATGTCAAATGAAGAATGAATTCATACGGTTTCAAATTTGTAGACCTTAAGAAAATAGCTTTTAAAAATGTTTAATTTTGTGACAATTTAAAATAAGTTACGTATTCCCCCCTTTTTTTTCTCCGAAAGTAATGCAAGCAGCATTTTCAAACTTGACAAGTTTTAAGGATATAGTGTGTTCATAAAATACATAAATTATTGCTGCCGTAGGGCAAATGTAAAGTTTTATATATTGCCTCAAAGTTCTCATATTGGCAAAAGTGTAATCCATTGAAATTTGAATAATAAAAAACCCCATCTTCGATTTTTCTTAAAATCTCGCAAATAGACAACCGAAAGCCATCATACAGTAATATAGAAAAACATGTTGCATTATTTTGTTTTAGCGACAATATTCGTGGCACAAATCAGAGCTTTTCGAGAATGCGCTGATAAGTTGAGAAATCTAGAAACTGGAACGGAAAAGCGGCAATGAGCTTCAAACGCGAGTAAACGTGACTGCATTTGGTGAAGAAAGGCTGTTTTAGCAGATAGGAGTAACTATTTTGAACACGATATTCTACAGTATCTGAATTCACTCTTATATGTAGAGCACTGAGACTTCTAATATGTGGTGCCTCTCCATTACTGGCACACAGATGGAGCTGCTCTGACGGCCATGTGTTTGCAACACGTTGGGTAAGAGAATTGAATGTTGAATGAGTTCATAAACGATTCATAACAAATTTTTATCATTTGGGGCACGAAGACTGCCGCATTAGACTGAAGAACACGCTTTAGGGCAAGTTGTCATCCGTCGTCTGCTCTACAGATGAATTGCTGTGCGCCGCATCTCGGAGGCAATGCTTTAGATAATATGGTTCAAAGTAGGGACAAAGATTACGCCTCCCGTAATTTTATCGACAAAAAAATTGTGAAATTGACTTTAACGTACTATACTTCAGTTTTGCATTCGCTCTGTAGATACTTGTGCACGCTGTTTTACGTCTGCTCTCATTAAAGGTGAGAGACATAGGAACAGACGCCAGATAGATCACTTTCGTGCTGCTGGTTTTACGCATAGTTGCATTGCCAGTAATTTGAGCCTCAAGGAGCGGGGCGATGGCTGACCACTTCAGCCGGGATAGGGTTTTTTGTTCAGATTACCTCATGTTGCATAAAAAGAAAATACCTTATCAAAGAAACTTCCGCAAGGTCGAAGACATCGGCCTGTTTGCCCTCCAGAAGCTTTTGCCGAAAGCTGCCCGCCATGCACATAACAACAACCACGTCTGCCAGAACTGCTTCAGACGCGTCAGAAATATGCTGTCTTCGTCTAATGGCTTCTCAGCTGAAACAGCTGATGAGTTTTTGCCGGAAGAAGAAAAAGGCAGAAGTCAAGAGCGGTGCGTAAACACGCCTGAAGCATTGTCACATATGCGACTGGAGAAGCTGCATGCGCAAAATAGTAAAGTTCATGCAGAGCCAAGACAACTTAGCAGCAATTCTACAGTAACCGTGAAATGCCATCGTAACGTGTGTAACCGTCACTTTCAATCATCAGATCTAAAATGCAGTGTGTGTGCCCAGTGATTCAAGAACTTCAAGCAAGCCTATGAAGCGTGTTCTTCGTATCAAGAGCGCATGCGTTTGTTGACACTGTTGCCGAGCGATATAGAGCGCCGAAAACTCCAAGCGCTTATACCAAACTTGTCAGCGCACATGATATACAGATCCCGACGCTGGCGCGCAAAACACGGGATATGGTTAGCACCAAATGCGGTAAAAACGACACGGCTGAACCCTATGGACGTCCAGGCAGCTATGGCTTACTACTCCAAAGATGAGTATAGCTGCTCTCGGCAGAGTCCCAACAAAAAAGATGTAGTATCTGTAATCATTGACGGAAAAAAGGAGCTTGTTTCGAAAAGGTTTATGACCCATTCGGTGCGAGAGGCTTACCGTTTCTTTAGAGAAGCTAATCCGAACACGTCTATTGGGCTCTCAAAGTTTTATTCACTGAGGCTGAAGTGGGTTCTTCTTGCACCACACCAAGATGTGTGCCTTTGTATATACTGTGCTAATGCCACAGAGTGGCTTTCTGCCCTACAAGATGTCACCGATGGTGCCTACACGGCGGACTTCTTGAAAGAACTATGTCTTTGCAGCTCCCCTACAAGTTGTTTTTTAGGCCATTGTGACTATTGTGCTAAGGAGGACGCTCTGACAGCCACATGTTTAGGAATCCCTGAAGATATTCAGGTAGCCTATGCAGTATGAGAAAATGGCGATCGAGAAAAAAAAACAGCCCAGGCAAGTGCTTTTCTGCGAGAGCTAAGTCTATGGTTCGTGAAGTGGATTACCCATGATTACATAAGATACATTCAAGAATCAGCAATACGCCAGGCGAAAGAGAACCAAAAAAAAAGAATCTTGCATTTTTCACTTTAATTTTGCCGAAAATTGGACAGCCATTTTACCGAATGAGGTACAGTCGTATCACTGGCACAAAAGACAGGTGTCTATATTCACGTGTGTCGTCACAAGGAAGCAATCAATTCAAAGTTTTGCCGTCATCAGTGATGACACATGCCATGATGCTGCACATGCCTGTTTTGCTCTACAAATAATCCACAACTATATAAAGGAACAACTTAAGCCTTACACGCATGTTACTTATGTTTCTGATGGTGCATGCAGTCACTTCAAAAACAAGTACCAGTTGTTCGAGTTATGCCAGAAAGATCGTATATCAACAAAGTGGATTTTTTCGGCCACAGGACATGGCAAGAACTCTTGTGACGGCGTTGGTGGCCTACTAAAGCATTAGGCTACCCTCTACAACCTCAGAGCGGCAAGCTCAGCTGTGATCATGTCAGCATCCCAAATGGTGGCGCGAATGAGCGCGAAGCTCAAGAATGTCAAGCTGCTGTGTGCAAATGCAGACGAGCTAGAAACATTCCGTCAGTTTAAGAAGAGCCAGTGGAAATTGTTGCCACGTGTTCCAGGCATACGTTCTTGGCATGTTTGGCTAAGCACATCTGAGGGCACTGATCGTGGTCGTGTTTTGTTAGCATCACATACTGCTAAATGTGATCTGCAAAAGATGCAGCCATTTTGAGCGCATCTCTTGTTTCACGCAGTCACCACCAAAATACCAGTGAGGGTACTTCAAGCGCATATGCTTTTTCTAGTGAGACCCAACACTTGCGTTGGAACATTTTCATGTTTGAGTTTATCTACAAATATAGACAGATGCTTTGCAACTGAGTTACAGTGTCAAAGATTTCCTCCATTAGAGCTGTATTATCAGGAGCATAAATGCGTCTTCATGGGTACGTATTTGTCACAGTGCTAAAACAGCCTTTCTTCACCAAATGCGGTCACGCTTACTCGCGTTTGAAGCTCATTGCCGCTTTTCCGTTCCAATTTCTAGATTTCTCAACATATCAGCGCATTCTCGAAAAGCTCTGATTTGTACCACGAATATTGTCGCTAAAAACGAAATAATGCAACATGTTTTTCTATATTACTATGTGATGGCCCTCGGTTGTCTATTTACGAGATTTTAAGAAAAATCGAAGATGGGGTTTTTTATTATTCAAATTTCACTGGAGTACACTTTTGCCAATATGAGAACTTTGAGGCAATATATAAAAAGTTACATTTGCCTCATGTTAACAATAATTTATGTACTTAATGAACACACTATATCCTTAAAACGTGTCAAGTTTGAAAACGCTGCTTGCATTACTTTTGGAGAAAAAAAAATTGAGAATACGTAACTTATTTTAAACTGTCGCAAAATTAGACATTTTTTAAAAGCTATTTTCTTAAGGTCTACAAATTTGAAACCGTATGAATTTATTCTTCATTAGAAATGCATTTCAGGTAAAAAATATCTTCCTTGAAACAAAAATATTTGTCTTTTTATAGCATCTGCAATTTTCGAAAGTGACAGGTGACAAAGTTGGTGCCTCCGTGTTGGTGAAGTTTGATATTTTTTTTTCTCGTAAGTTGTGCCGTTAATAATAAAACGAAGTTGACTTTCGGGCTACCTGGTGAGAGGTACATGAAATATAAAATTCTCAATGAAATCTAAAATATCAATTTTTGGACCCGTGTCGATCTCTCGTGGAATCACCCTTCTGTAACAGCCTGCCTATTCACGAGCTTACTCACAGACTTGTACTGAAAGTGGCAAGAAAAAAAAAAGCACACTTTCTTTTCGTGAAACTTGATAATGCAGTGCCTCTTTCTCATTTTTTCTTTAGTGCCATTCAATTAAACCTGCAGCATTACCAATTTGATCCACTTGCCACATTTGTCAGAGAAGTCTGATCACTATCCTTGTAATTATTTCTTAATTCACTAAGTTTACTCGCATTTATTTCACAGCGCAACCTAGCTACATGACACTGCTCTTCATTCTACACTTTTTCACAGATTTGATCCAGTAAGTATTGTTTTTGGCTCAAATTGGGAACATCACAATTTCCCTAAGTCTTGGCAATGAAGGAATAATAATAATAATTTATGGTGCATAACATTCCAAAACCATGCAGTGAGTATGGAAGACACCATAGTAGACAGCTCCAGAGGTTCTTTAACATGCACCTAAATATAAGTACCGCATTTTTGACTTCACTGAAAATGCAGCTGCTACAGATGGGATTTGATCCCACAACCTGCGATTAGAAGCTGAGCACCATAATCACTGCACCACTGTGGCTGGTTCCCAATAAAGGAACGTTCATCACGAAGACATCTTCCAACAAAAAAAAATATTTCACTTGCACGAAGTGCTGCTTACAGCAACGCAGTGCACGATCTGTCTGGGTGTATCATTCTTTGTGTTAATGCAAGCACACTCAGACATAGCCAATTTGAACAATTTTGTGTCTATAATGCCAAGAATAATTTTATTGGCTGTGGATGGCTGCAATTCAACCAGCCAAGTGTTTCACACAAAGTGTCTGCCTCTACCTGAAACTGTATCACTTTACATAATAGAAAAAGTTGCAGCTTTTCGAACACAGAATTGTATCGTGTTCAATGCAACAGGCCTGCATTCTCTTTCAAATGTGACTAGAGGGCTGGGGGAGGACAGAGAGACCAAAGAAGACAAGCGCATGCCATTCTTCGCAATAAAAACTTTAACTGGAAGTCGGTGCTCATCTTCCCTTGTGCTATAATCACATTTGAAATGAAATATCAACTTGCCCATATTCAGATGATACCTCAATGTTCTCTGCTCAGCATTTTTTGCTGTCTGGGAAGTTGTCAGAACTCCCTCCCTTTACCCCACTTGGCATACCCGCTGTTACTCACAAATCCAACAGCTATCTGCCCTTGAGCTGTCAACATGCATATTGAAACGTAAAAAGCTCCTCAGACGCAAGAACTCACTGTCAGCAAATTTCGAGGACATATTGTGGCAAGACATCGCAAGATTGGCATCAGCGTCAACATGAATGATGCGAAAAAAAGCAAGTAATAAATGTCTGTTGTAGCGATCTTCCAATAAATGCACACGTGAAGTAAGTGTACATAAAATCACGTGATTTCAATATAATGAGATGCCATGAATGACATGACAACATTACAATGTAATGATGGACTTCCGCTTCAAGTCATCTCATGCGATTGCATAAAAGACCTTGTCAGTTTTTTCGTGACACTAAGCTATTAACACTCATGGGCACAGCTATGCATATTCCATTTCAAGTGTACCAGCTCCAATTTCATAGCTCGAACCTCCTGCATACCTGTGTGTACTGAAATGATAGCATAGTTTGTTGAATATCTTCCTTTTCTCAAAACCATTGCGGGGTCTCTGACCAACAGAAAAAGGCTGGGTGACAGGGACTCCATGAATATATTGGGGGAATGGGATGACTCCTTGCTGGACAAAGATTGGCTCTTGCAAGACTGGATGGCGCAGGTTGTGGCTAATGAGGGAGTGAGGGAGAGTCATGCGGGGTGACTCAATGGCTGAAGAAGAGGCAGTGACGAGAAAGACCTTTTGCAAACGAACGAACGTAGATGCCCAGCTCTACACAGCAGTTACAAATAGCGCAATTAAACACTTTATATATCCCTTTTCGTCCCAGCGACCAGTGTACCACACATACCAAAAAAGGCAATGTAGGAAAGCAGAGCCACAATCGGAGCCAAAACAACTTTTGCAGGTTCTGTAGAAAGTGAGCAATAGAATTTTGAATGTTTTTCCTCCATCAGCCCCACTACCTTATGGGGTGCCTTAGAATATGATAAGCATTCACAAGGAAAAGCATGCACACGGTGTGGTTACATATACAAAACCGTTTTAGGAGCTTTCTTCGTACAATCCAAATAAATTAAATCGTGCGAGTTAACTGATGTCTTCTTGAAACAATGATGTGAAAAAGTAGCTTTTGTGATGAGTTGTTTGCTCGCAATGCGACAATGTTTTTATGTGCAGTACACCAGGATTCAACTGGATCACATCGTGCCAAACATGCAGGAAAAAGAAAAAAACTAGTTATGAGGTTCAGGCGACAAACTTGAAGCCCAGCCATCAAAAACGAAATGGAAGCATCCTGTGAATTCTACCAAGAGCATGGTGCTCAAGGAGGAAGCTGCGTCCGAGAAAGTTGGCTTGTGGAATTTTTTTACTTTCATAACGCTCTCTGCAACTGTTAACCCTGAGATTTTTTTCTTTTTATTAGATCGAAACAAACCATTTTTGTGTTTTTTATAAGATTATTAACCTTCTGACAGAACCAAAAGCAACACACTTCCAAGGAATGTGTATACGTACCTATAACATGGTGCCACCAGGAACACCATTCTACTTACAGTCCCCGAAATTGTTTGCATGCTTCTTCAAATGCCTCTTAGCTATAAAAAAGAAAAAAAACATTAAAAAATTGTTTCCTACACAACGGAAAATTTGGGACGGAAAGGGGTATAACTTAGAAACCCAGAGTCAGTGAAGTATAATGATCTAACCCTTTTTATAACATAGGGAATCTTGCTGATTATAAATTGACGTGTTTTTTTTTCATAAGACGACCTTCTGAATTTCGGGAGTCGGTCTGTAATCAGAGTTGACCTATACAGATAATCGTAAAGTTATCTGTGACTCCGACAAAAGGCCATCATGATCGGATTCATTGCTGTTCAATACATGAATAACATAAGCTGCAGAGGCAGTGGGGCCATAGGAACTGCTATTTCCCAACGCGCATGTGCTGCTTCCATAGCAGGGCATTTTTGCGATCTGCTGCGATGATGACGAAAATATAGTGAAACTGGCAAAACTACAGAGCGGGCCTAAAAATCACCGCTGCAGGAATGCAAACTGCCGGAAAAATGAGGTCTCAAAGCCAGAATTTCAAATCTTAGATGGAAGGGTAATGATGCCTTACGAAAAAAAAAAGAAATTTATCTCTCTATGCGTGGACGTTCAACCGAAAATCTGGTAGCGCCAGGTGGACTGACAACGTTCTGCAGGGAAGTATATTACATGACCAGTCACACGTGCATGAGCGTCTTCTTGTCTTTTCGCACTCACGTCTGTTCACGATTTTTGAATTTTGCTTTGCTTGCGAACAGTGGTGAGTGCAATTTGCGATGCTTCCCAATGGATGCCGATATGCCACCGGCAACAGTACAGCGGTGCTTCGAAGCGGCAAGTGATCCTTTATGGAAAGTCAAAAAGCAATCTTGCAGCAGGGTGCAAGTATCATAGGTCAGCAAAAGGCGTGAGGGAATGAAGAAAACAAAGGACCAAGATTACGTGCACTCCCATTGTTTCCGTGCACCAAAGTATGGACGATACGCTGCCATTGAGAAGGCACTTCGAGTTGGAGGCAATGTTCCACAGGCAAAGAAATATTCCTTTGCATCACTCCCTCTTTTGAAAAAATTACTGGTCAGCTATGGCCGCAGCATGAGGCTGAGTTTTGAGTCAAGCTTTTCACCAAGATAGGTTTGTAAGTTGAGGGGGGGAGGAAGGGTCGACTTATAATTGAAGAGAACCTATAATCGGCACTATACAGTATTTCCCTAGAGCCATTCGCTGGTCAACACAAAAAGTCAGGACCTGTCAATAAAGGACTTGCCCTTGATTGGCTGTGGGTGTGGACGTGGCCTGCTGGTAGGAAGGGGGAGGTGTGGGTGCAGCCGGAGGAGGTGAGTAATGTGGGGGAGCCTCGGCATTCTCGGTGGCCTCCAGTTCTGTGCGCAGACGCTCGTTGTCATTGTCGGTGGCCATGGCGAGTAGTTGGTCGATGCTGGCATCCACGGCCCCGCCATTGGCACGAAGCACTGCCTCAATCACCACAGCCTCCATCTCGGGAAACATGCTCCGGAAGTCGCGCATTGCCTGCAAAAAGAAAATTTTTCGATCTGGGTTTCTCTGGTCATTTTTTGTTTTTAGTGGCAGGTTTCTGTTCACTCTTTGTTGTGTGACACCTGTGTTGCATGCTACAAGCCTTTTTTGGTGCTTCTTATCACTTATCACACACATCTTTATAGGATAATAACCACGGAAACATCTTCATAGCATACTACACAGCTGTCATCTATGGGATCCTGTTAATGTATGATGCATGTTTGGGGCAAATCGGTAGAGACATCAATGAGAGGCTAAATGAGCACAGGAACAAGGTTGGCAAGGCACAACCTAACGTGTCCCTTGAAATTGACAGTAAATTAGTGTGCATGCACAAATTATTACAAGTCTAATGATTGAAGTGCAATTTATCACCAAGTTTGCAAACATATGCATCGCTGAAGTATTTACAGTAGACTCTCGTTAAATAAAACCTGAAAAGACCAGGACAATATGTTTTTTTTTAAACAGGAGTTTCATTTACTGAGAGATGAACAGAGGTGCAGAATACAAGTACTACTAAAACAATCATACCAGGGATAGTTGTTTCTTAAGCAGCAATTTCGTCTAACAAATTACTGTTTACTGAGAGTTTACTGTACATCATTATCAGCTAAGGAAATTGAATGTTTGAGGGCGACGGAAATATATCTGCATTAGATGTATGACTGTTTATCCTGAGCACGTGTTCTGTTATGTACGTCATGTAGAGTATTAGCCTCCAGGGTGGCTACTGGAGAAGCCGGCACTGCTGTCCCTGTGACATCTTAAGCGACATCATGGGACTTGCCTATGTCGCTGTCAACATAGCACGCTTGCTTTTCACCATGAAACAGTTCATTTTGTCGCCTACATGTTTGCTGACCCCTCGTCACTGCAGTGCTGGACACATTCGAGCAAGCCTAATGTGAATGAGCTTTTCCAAAATGTTGCAACAGCAATATACTTGACTGATAAAACTAAAATTGGCAAAACAACTCAGCAGTCATCCTCCGGTGTGCAGATCACTCAGCGGACACCTTTTCTTTTTATTGTTCGTGCATTTGCAAAGATTTTCTATCTGTATTTGAAGTAAGTAAGAAAGTGTACTTTGTGGACACGTACGAATTTACTACCTTCACTTGCACTAAACTGGAAAGAACGATTCCTGAAGCATGAGATCGTGGCAACTTCTTTGTTCGAACCTTATATGACTAAAGGAACAAATTATGCAGTCTCCACTTGTGGGCCTAGTGCGAGTTTCCTTGAATACCCTAAAACCAAGAAGCAGCGGGATGCATGTCTGATATAGCCGAGAATGAAGAAGCAATTCCTAGCATTCCATATCGCATGTGCGACAAGCACTTTCGCTGAAAAAGATTTTATGCACTGCGTTGGCACTGAATTCTTTGGGGAGTATGACATGGGACTTTCTGAGAACATGCATAAAAGAATTTGGTGCATTTATTCACACCAGGCAGGTGGGCTTTTTCTAGTTGCCTGCAGCACAATGGAAGCAATAATGATTTTGTCCTCACGCTGTTCTTTTGAATTGCATATTTGGACGCCTCTTATTCTGTTAACAGCTGTGATGAGCTCAGCTGCTGGTACACGATTTGGTTGAGGCTAGAGACTGACAGAGTTACTGCAAACAAGATACAGTGATTGTAAGTAATAGTCCTAGTGATGCATGCAGGTTGTTCTCACATCATATCACATAAGTCAATATACTTCGTGCATAGATGCACATGTAGTGAAAGCGAGGATTAAGCAGATAAAAATACCTTATGCGGGTGAAGTGCCACAAATTGAAATATGTGGCACTCAACCTTCTGGTGAAAGTAGCAGGCTGCACAAATGATGGTTGTTGTGAATAGTAATGTTATTGCGGAAAAAGAACTCATGAATACCCTTATGAAAGGTCACGTGAACTTAATAACCGATGTCAAAGCATCACTTGGCTTCAGCCACTTGATACGTACTGCTCTGAAAACTAGGGCAAGGTGTTGCCGTAAATCGTGTGGTGATTCAAATTAGATCAGTCACCTCGGTACCCTTTTGTTTAAATATACAAGTACGTCTTGTAGATGTGCCTTTGTTCGCATTTACTTCAAACTCACCAAAAGCACCATGTCTGCTGCATCTGCAATGTTAAAAGCAAGTGGCTGCTATGCGAGCAAAGGGCAGATAAAATTGCCATGCTCCAATGCCAATGCGTGGAAGTTACCTATGGCTGTATCCCAATGTGCTCAGCACTGCAGGGACAAGCGGTCAGTCCACGCAGATCGAGACCTTACCTCTTGCCCATGCTCTTTTAGCGCAAAAGCAAGAGACAAATGTGTGCTATCATGCTTTCTCAGTAAACATAAATGTACTACACAAGATGTGAGAATGCTGCAATTTACAGATTACTAGATCAATATCATAACAACTCACATTTTACCAGAGCGCCTTTTTATGTTGGGCATCTATGGCGCCATGCGCACACGATTAGCTGAAAGCGCTGGATACGGTAATAACAGCTTGTTGCCTCCCTAAGTATCTTTCTTGACAAACACTCAAGGTTGTTTTGCAGCTAATACAAGCATAACTGACACATGCAAAGTGAGAAAAGCTGTAGTCTAACAGCCTTAATTACTGGAACTGTAAAACACTTCACACAGTCCATACCACATAATTTCACACAGTCCATACCACAGATGTCACGGGGTCGTGACGTGGCAGAAGACAGGAGACTTCGTGTTGGGATTTAACTGTTTATTTGGGCGAACCTGTGCCCGGTAAACGGAAAGTCCAATTACAGCAGTAGTCTTGCACAGATAGCAGTCCCGGACTGATAGCGGCGAACAGAGCGTCGGCCTTCGATCAACAACTGACAAGCGGCGAAGCGCGTCAGCATTTATACTTTTGCTGTCGAATGTTCTAGCGTTATCGCTGGCGGTGGTGTAGGTTCCAGAACAATCTGTACCGTTCGCACAGTGGGCGTGATCTTATCGAAATGATCTATTACAGTCTGGAACCTTCTCGAAAACTGCAGGCGCGGTTTGCGCTGAGAATCGTGTGGTGTTTTGGGACGATAACAAAAACTTGGGAAATGGAACGTGGCATTGCCCCCCTCTGAAAAAAGGCATCGTCCCGATGCTTTAACTAAAAATGAAGGTACAATAACAATGCAAGAAAGTACAACGAATAAATTACGATACAACAATAATACAAAAAAACACTGTTTCAGTTTGTTAACCCGCATGAAACGGCTTGAGGCGCGCGACATGTACGACTTCAGGTCACGATCGGCGTCGTTGAGAGTTCGTGATGTCGTCGGGGACAACCTCGTAATCAAGTGGGCCGAGACGTCGAACCACCCTGTACGGTCCGAAGTACCGTCGCAGAAGCTTTTCACTTAGTCCACGTCGGCGTATCGGCGTCCACACCCAAACACGTTCACCGGGCTGGTATTCCACGAAGCGTCGTCGAAGGTTGTAACGGTGGCTGTCGGTCGTCTGTTGATTCTTGATACGGAGACGCGCAAGTTGTCGGGCTTCTTCGGCGCGTTGAAGGTACTCGCTCACATCGAGGTTTTCTTCGTCGGTGACGTTGGGTAACATGGCATCGAGCGTCGTTGCCGGGCTCCTTCCATAGACCAATTTGTATGAAGATATCTGCATCGTCTCCTGCACCGCCGTGTTGTATGCGAAGGTCACATACGGAAGAATGGCGTCCCACGTCTTGTGTTCGACATCGATGTACATTGACAGCATGTCAGTGATCGTCTTGTTAAGCCGCTTGGTGAGGCCGTTGGTTTGTGGGTGATACGCTGTCGTCCGGCGGTGGTTTGTTTGGCTGTATGCCAAGATCGCTTGAGTTAAGTCGGCAGTGAATGCCGTTCCTCTGTCGGTGATAAGGACCTCCGGGGCGCCGTGACGTAGGACGATATTTTCGACGAAGAACTTAGCTACCTTGGATGCACTGCCTTTTGGCAGAGCTTTTGTCTTGGCGTGGCGGGTGAGGTAGTTGGTAGCTACCACGATCCACTTGTTTCCGAAAGCCGACGTCGGAAACGGCCCCAGTAGGTCCATACCAATCTGCTGGAAAGGTCGGCAAGGTGGATCAATTGGCTGCAGAAGTCCTGCTGGCCTTGTCGGCGGTGTCTTGCGTCGCTGACAGTCCCGGCATGTCCTCACACAACGAGTGACAATGGCGGTAAGATGTGGCCAGTAGTACCTTTCTTGTATCCTCGTGAGCGTGCGAGAAACACCGAGGTGCCCTGCCGTTGGATCGTCGTGCAGGGCCTGCAGGAGTTCTGGTCGCAGAGCTGAAGGCACCACAAGGAGGTACTTAGCTCAAAGCGGTGAAAAGTTTTTCTTTTGTAGAAGACCGTTTCGTAGGAAGAACGATGCAAGTGCGCGCTTGAATACCTTCGGGACTTCGGCGGTCCTGCCTTTGAGGTATTCTATAAGGGCCTTAAGTTCCGGGTCGCCCTGCTGTCGTTCAGCGAAGTCGTCGGTAGTTATCGTTCCCAAGAAGTACTCGCCATCCGGGTCGTCGGGTAGCGGTTAGTCGACAGGCGCACGTGAGAGACAGTCGGCGTCGGAGTGTTTTTTGCCGGACTTGTAAATGACAGTAATGTCATACTCTTGAAGTCTCAGGCTCCATCGTGCGAGGCGACCTGAAGGGTCCTTCAAGGTGGCTAGCCAACACAAGGCGTGGTGGTCGCTCACAACATTGAAGGACCTGCCGTAGAGGTAGGGGCGAAATTTCGACGTAGCCCAAATGATGGCGAGGCACTCCTTTTCTGTTGTGGAATAATTTGCTTCTGCTTTGGATAGCGATCGGCTGGCGTAACTAATAACCCTTTCAAGTCCGTCAGCCCTCTGCACAAGAACGGCGCCAAGACCTACGCTGCTTGCGTCAGTATGTATTTCTGTCTCGGCGAATTCGTCAAAATGGGCATGTAACGGAGGCGTCTGGAGACGATGTTTAAGCTCCTGGAAAGCGTGTTCCTGTGGCGTTTT